TGGGTTTGTCTCTCTCTCTCTCTCTCTCTCTCTCTCACCCACACACCCATCCACACACACACACATACACACACACACACACACATACACACACACACGTGCATATGCACTTACAAGTAAGCATGTGTGTATGTGCATAAAAGTTTCAGCAAACACTTCAAAGTTTTATTTCATAAAATTTAGGTACTGGTAAAAATTCATAGTCATCTGAATTCACTCAAACCAGTCAACAATTACATTCATTTATTATGATTACATTAGAAGAAATCTAAAACTATTGGATCATTACATGATTGCCATTTTGCGGCTTGATTGTTGTTAATTGCATAAGACATGCTCTCAATAATACAAACTGACTAGTTAAATGGTTCTGTAACAGTTGTGATCAATATTCAAAATTTTATTAAACATAGTCTCCTAAGACTATATAAAACATATGAATCTATAATTAATAATGCTGAAGAAATTATTAATCAAAATGTATAGCATTTAAGGTAAATTCTGAGTTCATGTAGTTTCATGGTTTAACATACATCTACACGCTAAAATTCACCTAATTGCTGACCTCTGTTCAACTGCTTATTTTGCTTTGACTTTGGATGTCTAAAAATCCCCAAAGTGCCATGCCACAAAATAAACTTTTCTCATCATCTCCCAAACCTGCTTCTATAATCTCATTTAATGACAACTATACTTTCTGCATACTTAAAGTAAAAATCTTGGAGTTATTGTTGATTCTTTTCCTTCTCTCATAGCTCATAAATCAGGACATCTTGTTGAATATGGACAAACCTTCAAGGCACGTCCAGGAGTTGGCTACTTACTTTACACGAGCTTTCCTTAAAGCACCTATGTTTGAGCCACATTCATCTTTCTTCTGGATTAATTCAATAACCTCAGAACTGTTCTCCTTGCGTTGCTTCTCATCCACAACACAGCAGCCAGAATGCTCCTTCTGAAACATAGATCAGATCACATCACACCTCTGATCAAAAATATCCAGCGGTTACCCACTGCAAAAGACAAAGTTCTCATAATGTCTTACAAGATTTGGTCTTGTTGCTTCTCTGACTTTATTTCCCATTACATTTCCTCTTACATACTTTTCTCCAGGGAAGCTGTGCTACTTCTAAACCCCATCACTATCTACTAAGGCCTTGCCTGAAATATTCACTTTGCCTAAAATGATCTTCATCCAGATATCCCACAGGACTCAATTTTTCAGCACCTTGAAGTCTTGCTCATATGTCATCATTTGAATACACAACTTATTGATAATTATAATCTATTTCCCCACTCCCATCCTAGGATGGATCCTCAATGCCCTGCCCTTTTTAAAAAATCCTCGAAGTATGTATCTTTGTCAAACTTCCATATAATTTGTCCATCAGTTATATTAATTATCTATTGACTACCTCACTTAGCAATAAATAGGTTCCAAGATGGTAGGCATATTTGTTTTTTTAATCACTGATGTAATCATGATATCTGGAACAGTGCATGTTATATAATAACACATAATTTTAAAAAAATATATTAGAAGGAAAAATTTAATTGAAAGTCTTTGGTATATGTGGCAATGGTATATTGACCCAAAATATTTATAAACTGTTGATTGAAATAGAAAATCTACACAATATAATAATTATCGTTGTTTTAATTTCAAATTTTATATTTGAATATAGAACTCATAAAAATTGATATATTCGATTATACAACATAAAAATGAAAGTGATCGTTCATATTGTGTTTCCTCAAAATCCAAAGCTGTCTTAATAAGTAATCAATTTGGTTTGTACCATAGAGATATTTTTCGAGGAATTTACATACTGGTATATCTAGAGCATTTTTTGACACTTCATTAAGCTATAATTATCACAGAATAAACTGTACATATTCAAATGTATGCAACATACACAATTTTAAAAGTTTTGCCCTTCACTACAATCAAAATAATGGACATATTTATGACCCCCCAACTTTTCCTTACCGTAAACAATTCCCTTTAGTCATCTATTGCTCTAGCCTCTTCCCACTACCTTCCCATTACCAGGCAACCACTGATTTATTATCTGGAATCAAAGATTAGTTTGCTTCTTCTATAATTTTATGCATTATAGTAAATACCCTTTTTTATGTCATCCTCCATTCAGCACAATTATTGTGAGATTCATTCATGTCATTGCTTATATCAATAAGGCATTCCTTCTTTTGCTCAAAAGCATACCATTATTACCATTATATGGCTATACCATTGTTTGTTTATCCATTTACCTATTTATAAGTTGACATTCTTGTACATCACTAGGGTTATTTTTAAATACATAGTAGAATCATATCATGAAGAGTCATTCTGCAAATTCATTTGTTCACTAAGCAAGTTTAGAGCTCTTACAATGTCGGAGAATTTATGCCATTTTTTTAATCATAGCATTCATAGTGAG